ACTTCCTTTCCTAAGAGAGAACGAAGGGAGTCACAAGATTTTTTGTTGTCTTCAATATCAGACGTTAGCGTTTCCCACAGAAGAAATCATGGGAACACGTAGGACCGATCGTGAAAAGTCTTCGGAAAGATTTGCGAGCTTGCCTTGGGAATTCGTCGACCTTGTCTACTTTCTTTTCTTTCAATATTCTCTCCCTTATATAACTTTCGCCTCTTTTATTCTTTTCTCACGTTAATTTCGTATGATTAACTATTGCTCGTAAATAAGATTTGAAGAAAAATATTTTCAATAAACATATCGAACCTTTTCCTTCCAATTCCATTCAAAAATTATTCTACATTCTTTATTTGATCTTTAAAACGTTTAACGATAGGACAAATTCCCAACGTAAAGTTCGTCATTAAAGTACAGTTCGATTTGCGCTCACAGCATACAGGTAGTCGCGTGAATGAATACTGAAATCGAAATGAAAATCGAGGAAAGGTCATGCTCGCGTGCCAGAAATAACACGGCCGTGGCGTTGACCCACATTGTTTTTGAAACGCGATTAAACTCATTGAAAACGACCGAAAGTAAATTAATGGCCATAGGCCGCGTAACCACGAAAAGCGAGGCAAAAAGCGAAACAAATTTAACGAGCTGTGAATTATGAAAATCGGTGACAGGCCGACGCTTTTAAATACTCTCTCTCTCTCTTTCCCTCCCTCTCTCTCTTTCTCTCTCTCTCTCTTTCTCTCTCTCTCTCTCTCTCTCTCTCTCGACCTCCTCTCCGCCCCGTTCATCGGGCGCCAATCGGCACCCCATTACTCTCTTTCCCACCCTCACCTCCTCATCAGAGTTTGGTTTGGGCGCGTGCCAGTAAATCGAAACGATTCAAATGCAAAATAATAATAAAACAGCGGGTTCTGTCGATGGCCCGTGGTAGGTAGTCGTGATGCTGGTGGTGGTCGGAGGCAAGGGGAGGCGGGGTTGAGAGCGCATTAACGCAATTAACCTCCAATTAATAACACATCAATTGACACCCGGTCAACTTGTTGCATCGGAGCAGCCCGATAATATGCTGAACGCGTGTGAGAACTCAATGTGTACGTACACAAAGGGGGTGGTGTGTGAGTACGCGAACGTGTCTCTCTGCGTATAGAGAGCTGGATACGTAGGCGTTAGGCACGTAGACACATACACATATACGTACCTATGTACATGTACGACGAGTCAATGTACATATGTAAGTGGAGGCGTCGTCCTTCGTAGTCGCGAGTGCATGCCGAGAGCGAGGGTTGCGTTTACCCACATAGAGGATAATAAAGAGACGAATGTTAGAATAATTTCGTAACAAGGGGAAAGAAAAAAAGCAACGATGCATAACGGCGTTCTATAAGGTAGAATGTGAAAGACGGAAGAGTCCACGAAGTTACCACCAACGGACATGGGCTGATGACCATTGTACAGTTCCCATGTAACCCCCTGCGAACACTCTCACCGCATGATACATACTAGAGGGAAAAAGACAGTGTAAAATTCCGATGCACATGCCGTTACCATGTTACCCCGACGACTACGACGACAACGACGACGATGATACCATGTGGGGTACGCACGCCACATGTGATGCTTCGATACGGAAAACACCACCTTGCCCGACACTCCTATATCTACTCTTGGAAGTAGGAGGAAAGAGAAAAATCGAAAAATATAATCGTCTCTTCTCTCGTTAACAACGCTTCTTTCCTTCCCTTTCTCTGGTTACACCACCCTCATACCACCCAGTATCATTCACAATCGCCATTTAAGGATATCGTCGCGCATCGATCACATTATCTTAATGTCTCCCGATATTAATCGAGCGAATCGGTGATGCGTCGCGATCATTAAACGTTTAACAGAAATGCTGCATTCGTTCGTGAGAAAGATAAAGCAACGACCGTCAGTCTCTCGCGAGACTGGATACATCAAAATCGGTGATGGAAATTACTAGGAATTTTAGTAACAACCTTTTATGAATATCACCGAACCGATCGAAATTATCGGCGTAACGTATTGTTTGGCGACTGCTAGTCGGAAATTTGCTTCTCCTTTAGCGCCCTGTTGACGGCGTTAGGCGCGTTGTGTGTACGTACCGAGGACGGTAATGCTTTGGGCATATATAACACGCATACGATATCCGATCACTGTAAAACACGAAGAACGGATTGCATGTGAACCTGTTCTCGGTTTTAGCGATCGATGATAAAGAGATTAATGAACGCCTTCCACGAGTCGGTACTTTTGTTCGACGGGTCTCCTCCTTAATTACCCGAGGTGTTGTAGCTAAAAGTTATCAAGCTCGATAGTTCCGAACAATAGCTATACTCTACGGGCCAGTCCGCGAATTTTCCTAAAGCGAATTGTAAAAGCACGTTTATACCTACTCGACACGGTTGCCTCTCACCCAACTTTTAACTTTAACTTCAACGAGCTCACTTCGATGGATCACCTCTACCTGCCGCCATTTCTTCTTTCTTTTTTCCTTTTTTTTTTCGCCTACTATTTTATCGAGGAACCCTACCACCATAGTCACCGCAATCACCCTTCGAAATCAAGTCACCTGCTTAAACGGTAAATGTCGCATGACGCACAGGAAGTGGTTGTTGGTGGCTCATCGTATGTCTCGACACTATCTAAGTTTGTTACCAACGAAGAAAATTAAAACAAAATACAGACGTATCTTTCGAATATTTTCGATCAAAAATATTCTCTACTTAAAACATAGTGTAGTCTTAAAAAATTAAAAACATTTCTTTATAAACGCTAACTCAATAAACTCGATTCGATCAACGTGCATGAATATACAAACGAAGTAGACATACGATCAACGTAATTAACTCGACGTATATACTTTGAAATCGACGAAATGTGGGAGAGTTCCTGAAGCCATTTCCGGTCAGGGTACCGGCACCTCTTTTTGTTCTGCTCGTCCCACGCATGGCGGCACACGGGGAAGTAGCGTTTAAAAGTAGGAAGAACAGAAGTTCCTGTGACCCCCCTCGAAGCTCTCCCTTCTTTTTACCATACGCGCCTAGGTACGAGACTCTTGTAGACGTTATCGAGTTCGAGACCATATGTTATCTTTTGAGTAAGCAATTTGCGAATGTCCCTATCTTATCCTCTTTGCATCCTTCTTTGAATAATGCCAATGAAAATGTATATTCCTCGCTCTTATTCGACGTGTATATAAAAGTATCGTAACTAGTTGTAATTGAACGCTTGGGTAATATCGATTTAAATGTGCGACAAGAGGCACGCAAGACTATTTACGATATAGGAAACAGTTAGGTCTGCGTATTAGTTCTAAAAAGATCAATTTGGTATTAATTATAAGAAGATTAATAAGATTAATTAAGAAATAATTGAATATATTGAATCCAACTTTAAACCAAAGTGATATTTTTGGTTGTTACTTAAAAGAAAATTATACTTTTAATAGAGACCTATTGGTCTCTCAAAATTACTTTCAAAAAATTCCTCACTGAAAAGATAAAAATTTGTTACCCAGAGATACGAACACTCCGTTTCGCGTCCTCCGCATTTTTTTTTTTTTTTCTAAGGTTTCCCCGTTCGTTATAGCAAAGCGATAGTCATGTATATTACGCACACGCATTCCTATCACCACACCCTGTCGATTTATCGAGACGAGTACTCGCGCATCCTCGAACGAAGGCGGTTGGTGCGTAAGCGCGAACTATGGAATATGTCGGTCTATTGAGCGCAGGTGCTTTAAGCTGCTCAGCTGTTGCTTCGAAGCTCACGTACGTGATGCACACAGAGCGCCTACGGCATCGTGTTAGTTTCCACACGGAGTTGTCACATTAGACCATGTGTGTACAAGCTGCTTGCGTTTACGCACTTATACGCATCATCGATTCAACCACAAGAGTAACAGAAAAAGAAAATAAATGATGAAATCGTTCTAATGTTTTATACATGTTGAATGTTAAAAAATGGATACTAAACTGGCAAAGAATCATTTTTACGAATACTTTTCAAAACACTTACATTTATGTCACGTCTTTTCGAATGTAACATGAAACATAAATTACATGAGATATTTTTATAAAAAATGTAATCTTTTTTGTCTGACCTATTGAACCCGACAAAATACACTTTATTTTTACGATTGTTTCCCAACTAATACGAGAGAAAAGAATAGATCGACGCACGTGCATAGGATCGCAAATAGAAAAGAAGTATATAGTCGTCGAGGAAAGTTAGAAATGGAAGTGAGGAATTATAAATATAGATACACCTAGAACGATTCACGATGAACGTGGCATTAATTATTTTTTTCGTGCCCCTTTCTTCGGGGGCGAGCATCGACCATCGACCGACGACGACAAAGACGTACGAAGAGTCGATTCGACTAACATAAGCTACTTATACTACAACGAATAAGATATTCAAAGCGAGCAATTTTCTTATGACCACGACTCCCAGGCGCTTTCTCTCATTGTGTTCTCCTCTTCTTTGGAGTTTTAGAATTTCTCTACGATGCCCCAAGGGTCGTCTTCTTCTTTGTCTTCTTCATTGGTCTTCGTATTTTTAAACGATCACTGACTACTGGTTACTCCCTACCTCCTTTTTGTTCACGATCGTACATTGAACCGACATAACTTATCGATCGATGACTCGGTTGCGTGAAAAAGAAGAAATATATTATCTTAAAGTTCGACGACCGCGACCGGTCAGTTAGCTTTAAAGATTCTTACGAATTCGAAAGGAAAATTACGGGAATCGTCTATAGCCGCGCGTAACGGCCGTCAGACGTTGTTTCCGCAAATGCTTTCTTTCGTTAGAAAGAAGGGAAGAGAGAGAGAGAGAGAGAGAGAGAGAGATCGGCCGAAATAAAGTATACGTTTCTATTATGGTACGGATCGATCGTTCATAAGAGAGAGATCGTATTCGATTCGTATATACTTATTCTTGGATAGTACGCATATACAAACTCTGGTACCTTTGACTTTCAGACGGATAGAGGAACCGCAGCAGGGAAAATCGAGACGAGGGAGCGAGGGGCACCCAGCCCTTTGGCGAGTTCGAAGGATGCAGCTCCCAGGCGGGAGCACGAGAATTCCGCCCGCGAGAGCTCCGGCCTCCTCCGTTCGATCGGTGATCATCAACAGCAACAACATTTACAGTACCAGAAGCAGCAACAGCGGCAGCATCAAGAGCTGCAACGAAAGCACGACGATAAACGACAGCGAGTGCGTATGTGGTAGCATAATCGGCAACAGCAATAGCAGCGACAAAAGTAGTAACAATAACGATAAGAAGATTAAGAAGAATAACAATAAGAACGAGACGTGCAAGGGTAGCAGGAAAAACTTCAGCGATAAAAACTTGAACGGAAGAAGAAGCGGCGTTGCAGGTCGTTTTTATCGTCGTAGCGAGAACGCCGATAAAGTAAGGAACGGCAGCGTTGGAAACGGACGGAAGAGTCGAGCAGTGAAGGAGAGACATCATCTCGTGGCGACTACTACGAGGACGAACCGCCGACACCGAGTCACGAAGCATCCCCAGGTGTTGTTGGCGTCAGTTCCACGGCGGAAAGTGCGGAGCGAGGAATAGTAAAAAGAAAACCAAGGGGAAGCGAGAAACGACGGAAGAGGAGGAAGAAGAAGAAGAGGAAGAAGGTGAGGAAGAAAGAGACGAGGAGGAAGTCAAAGTCGTCCGGCGGGAAGGAACAGAAGGGTGCCGGCCTCGTCGACGTTGTCGACGGCGGCGGCGGTGGTGGAGGAGGAGGAGGAAGAGGAAAAGAAGGAGAAGGAGGCGAAGGAGAAGGAAAAAGCGAAGGAGGAGGAAGAAGAGGAGGCGGCGGAGGAGGAGGAGAAGGAGGAGGAAGAGGAAGACAAAGAGGAGGAAGGAGAAAAGGAGGCAACGAAGGCGAAGGCGAAGGTGGTGGAGAGGGAAGGCAGCCGCCGACTCAGCTAGTAGTAGTAGTAGTAGCAGTGGGGATCGCGCGCGTCGGAAGGAACGAGAGAAGGAGAAGGAGAAGAGTCGACGGTGGTAGGGGAAAGCGAGAGTGCAGAGAAGCAGAGGCAGCGCGCTGAGCCACGAGGGGGCTATTCGAGCGAGAAGGGGAGGGGTGGCAAGGAGCCCTGGCGGGGAGGGGACGCGGAGGCCTTCGGGGGGCCGACCAACCAGACGGCCGATGATGTCATCGGAGGAGGAGACCGAGTGTTTCGCCCTCTACGGAGCAACCACGGAAAGCAAGCAACAGCAACTCCTGAAGAAGCAGAAGCGCACCAGACAGCGCGTGGACGCCGGCGAGCCACGCAACAGCTACTCGAGCATACCGAACTTTAGCTCCCGGCCATCCTTCCTCGGCGGTGGTCTGTACGGCTCGATCTTCAGCGGTAGCGGGCCGACGTCGCATCAACAGCAACAACAACAACAGCAGCAGCAGCAACAACAACAACAACAGCAACAACAACAACAACAACAACACCAGCAGCAGCAGCAACAATCACAACAACAACAGCAGCCACAGCTCCATCAACATCACCACCAGTCACAGCAGCAACAGCAGGCTGGAGCGGCTGGTAGTCAAGGTCACTTGGGTGCAGCGACGACGGGTCCTACAACCCAAAAGCATTCCGCCCACTTCGGCTTCTTCGGGGCATCGGGCTTCGGCCCCGCCAAGATGCTGAACGAATTACTCGGACGGCAGGTCAAGCAGGCCAGTGACGCCGGCGGTTCGCCGCCAGAGGGCGGACACGGGATGACCGGTGCCGGCATGGATCCAAATGCGAACCTCCAACCGGGGGCAGTCGTCAATTGTGACGACCCCGCCACAGCCGAGTTAACGCAACACATGCTCCGCGACATTCTCCAGGGTCGAAAGTTGCCTGCCCTTTCCGTGCAAGAGCAACCAAACAATAACAACAGTATACATAGTAACAATAATAATAATACCACCGCGGATATCCTCAAGTCCCAACAACAGCATCAGCAAAGTCCCCAACAACAGCAGCATCAGCAGAATAGTGATAGTGTGCGCAGTGGAACAGTGCAGAGTGGCGGAGAGGAAAGTGGTGATGGCAATAACGTCCTCGTGAATAGCACGAACCACAGTGATCGTGATACGGTGATGCCTGCTGACGCGGAGGATAGCGCCGAGGACGCCGCCTCCACGGCACGTGCCATGGAGGAGGCATTCGCCGAGGTAGGCATCGAGCCCGGTACCAATCTCGATGGCTCCGATTGCGATCAGAGCTTACCGCCCAGTCCCACGGCTCCGAGGTCGGCCTCGGTATCGGTTAAGGAGGAAATTCAGGACTCTTTGAACATCAAGCGTAGTCCTAGCCATTCTCCTTGCCCGATAATACCTAAAACCGAGACGAGCTCTCCTACAACGGAGTTGAAGCGCGCTCGGGTGGAAAACATTGTTAGCACGATGCGCAGTAGCCCTGCGCTTCAGCTTACTCCGGTAAACGGTTGTAAGAAGCGAAAGCTTTATCAGCCGCAACAACAAACCGTGCACCACGTTCTCCAGCACGGTGTCAATGACACTATGATGGACGACGAGGAGGAAAGCGAGGAAGAGGACGATCAGTCGACGATAAAACAAAAACGAAAGCAGAAAGCCTCTCTGAAGAGTCAGCTCAAGATAATGCACGAGCAACTCGCGGAGATGCAAGCAAAGTATTTGGAACTTTCGAGCAAGGTGGAACACGATACAAGCGAGAGCAGCGACGCACCCGCCAGTCCGCAGCAACTACCCGAACCACCCCCTAGACCACCGAGACCTCACCCACCGGCGTTCAACGGCCTCCAGACTCTTCCGCCCGACCATCCGCATGCCGCGGCAGCCGCCATGTATCACATGAGTCATAAACTGTACATCGGACATCAGCAGTCCGCACTCGAGAGGATGAAGCAGCATCAGGAGGCGACCGCGAGACAGCAACAGCAGCAGCAACAACAGCAGCAGCAACAGGTGCATCAACAGCAGCAGCAGCAACAGCAGCAGCAGCAGCAGCAACAGCAACAGCACCAGCGACAAAGTTCTCCACAGCCGCCTAGTCAAGCGCAGCAACCGAATCAGAGCAATACCGGACCGTCCACGCCGCAAACGCCACAACAGCTGACAAGCAGTAGCACGTCCCTGCAACAAAAGGACTTCCAAGAAAGGTTAAACGTCTTCAGGGGCGCAGCTGCGGCGGCAGGTTCCTCGGGGCCACACATCACCGGTGCGGATCTCGAAATTCTGGCGGACATTCTTAAAACGGAAATCTCTTCGTCGTTCGCTAATCTGATTGACAGTATAGTCGCGAGGTTTGTTCAACAAAGGAGGATCGTCGGTAAGCAAAGCGAGGCGGCACAAGTAGCCACCGAACAGCTAAACAAGGATATCCTGATAGCGACTCAAATGCTCGAAAGGAAATCGCCAAGGACGAAGGTAGTCGACAGGGGAGCTCCACAACCTACCGGTGGCCCAAACGGGCCACGGGGGCCCCTAACCGGTGGGCCCCCTCCAACGCAACCAACGGCTTTTTCCCAAATAGGGCCCATGGCTGGTGGGCACCATGGTCCTCACTCTGGTCCCACAGAAAATAATTTAAATCAGATGAATCAGCTACCCCCACACGTCAGGCCCGTTGGGATGTTTCAGACACCGATGCCGCAAAAAATATATGGCATCGGACCGATGCAGTCGCAACAGCAACAACAACAGCAGCAACAACAGCAACAACGCGAACAGCAACAGAGGGAGCAGCAACAACGCGAACAATATTGTAATTTGAGGAACGACGAGAGGGAAGTCAGGGATTCGGAACAGAACGAGGCTCTCTCCCTCGTCATGACGCCGAAGAAAAGGCGCCAAAAGGTATTCTCACACTTTCTTTGGGTTTCGAGTGTCGGTTACGTTAGATCTGAACTCATCTAAATCTCGATTCATATCTATGTACTTACAAAATTGCAATACGATGGGATAATTCAGGTATAATCAGGTATAAATCAACGTTTGGTGGGTTTCGTGAGTTAGACGTAGAACCAAATATGGTTTTCGGATGTTTAACATAATAAGAGATTTCAATAGGTGTCCGGAGACCTAAGAAATGTAGCTCATTTTTAAATTTTACGTAAAGGAAGATCAATGAGCATCGTTTTTCAGGTAACCGATACGAGAATCACACCAAGGACTGTATCAAGAATTCTTGCGCAGGAGGGCAACGGATCTCAAGGAGGCAGTGAAAGTCCTCCGCCAGCTCCACCACCGAGACCTTACCACGCGCCACCACCAATGCTGCCAGTGTCCCTGCCAACAAGCGTAGCGATACCAAACCCGAGCCTTCACGAAAGTCAGGTGTTCTCGCCGTACTCGCCGTTCTTCCCCGGAATCAACACCCCACGTGGGGGACATGCAGGCCAGGTACCAGCAGCGGGATCGCATCAGTTGCCTGCGAGTCCTCCAAGTGGACGTGTAGAACTCAGGGATTCTCCTCCACTTTCGCATGCCCCGGCCATGTTGCATCCTGTTTTACTCGCGGCTGCACAACACGGCAGTCCGGAATATGGACACCTAAGGATGGACAACAATGACCGTGTCAGTGATTGCAACTCCGGAGACATCGGCTACGACGGAATTCAGCCTACAATATCCTTTTTTAATACTACGTAAATAAGAATTAATTTTCTTCTTTGATCAAACAGTATTGATCAATTGTATTCGATTGTTACAAACGATAGAGATTAGATAATCTATTGAATGCAGTTGTATACCGCGTGTATTTCTTCAGTAGATAGATATAAAATAAATGATAATTCGTGGCAAGTGCGAAGGAAAATTAGGAATATACGAGATACGACTGAAAAGCCGTACGACGCTTAGGGATATTTTTTGTGGCGGTGGTAGGACGAGTGAACTAGAGGGTGAGTTTCGTTGAACGCGAAAACTTTGAAATGCGGCAGCGAGTTTTTGAGAGAAAGAACTCGTTCGCTCGCAAGGAGAAGAGAGCAGTCGCCGCGATGCTGAGGTAGGTAGGAGAGAGGGATCGAAAAGAACCTGAGCTAGCTAGCTAGAAAGTGAGTGGAGAGAGAAAGAAGAAGAGAAAGCAACAAGAGTGGGAGACACAGAGAGAGAGAGAGAGAGAGAGAGAGAACGAGAGAGAGACAGACAGAGAGAGATGGAGAGACAGAGAGATGGAGGAAAGAGGGAGGACTCGGACGAATGTTAGATTAGTTTGCCACGGAGTTAGGCTAATGTTGGATGCACCTACGAGTAGAGTTTGTCCGGCAACAACGCGCCAAACCGAAAGTTCTTTGCCTACTACTCGGTCTGCCCTCAGCCTCGAGTCTCACCCAACTTCGCAAGCCAATAATCTGTCCCGTAATTTCGGAATTCAACCACGGAAACGAGCTGGAGGTGGAAGAGGTAAAGGAGGAGGTGCTCCGCGAACTTCCCATCGCGAGCGTCTCTTCGACTTATCGTAGATAATCCTCTTCTCTCTCTCTCTCTCTCTCTCTCTCTATTTCTCTCTTCCTAGAATCGAGATTACGAAAGTCGACCAACTCAGTTTCTCCATGTATTTCAGTTCTTTCGACTTCAATCGAGTTTCCGCCTTCTTCCTAGCTCGGTGTTATCGCTATAACGTTTCTGACTAGTAGTCGACAACCTCCGCTCGCGCGTTGAAATCTTCGAGGAAACGCGATAGCCCGTAACGGTTTAGTAAGTATACGTCTTGACTAGTGAGTCCCGGTAACGAAGGGAGCATTCTACGATAACTTTGTAGAAAAGATAACTCAAGATAAAGATACAGAAGAAAATTAAAGTATCTATTCCATAATTACATGCATATATATATATATATATATATATATATATATATGTATATGTATATGTATATATTATCATCGTTCGACTTTACGCGGTCGAGGTTAGTTCTATGTATAAAAGAGGAAGAAATTTTAAACCAGGCTTCTATTAAAAACTCTATCGGCCGGCACGCATCCGTGGTCCCGATGATTCTTCTCGGCGCGAGTTTTTCCGCGTCTCTCTTTCAAAGTCTCAAACGATGCACCGCGCGGCCACGGGCTGACCCGATGATACGCTTTAACAGCATAAAAATAGCTATCGTATCCGGCTTCGAAGAGAAAGAGAGAGAGAGAGATAAGGCATGTTCCTAGTACGATCGTCGGAAAATGATCAACCAGCGCGAAAAGTTCAGCAGCTCGATTATTGCACATGACTCACCTTGCTTGCAGCCTCGCATCGGCTTCTCAGTTTTTGAAAGAGCTTACGGATCCAGAAAGAGAAAACGAGAAGGGCCGGACGTTGTAGGTGGGAGGCTTGTGTGGGGGCGCGAGAGAACATATACATGTGTGTTTTTGTGTATATGTGTGCGAGACGATGGTGCATCGTCAGAACTGCAACATCGCCGTGTCGATCCGATCGGCAACACGACGTTCTTTGCCACCTTTTTAGTCGGCCTTTGATGTAAAATCAATGGCGCATTTTTTACCTCTCTCTTTCTCTTTCTCTCCTCTACTCTCTCTTTCTTCTCTCTGTGGGGTAGGTCGAGCGCGTCACATGTATCGTCGTGGCCGTAAGCTCTCTCCCCTCTCTTTCCCTCTCTCTCTCTCTCTCTCTCTCTCTCTCTCTCTCTCTTTCTTTCTCTCCATATCTCTCTCGATTCACCCTCGTCTGTAATGTTTCGCCATGGCCTTCGCGCCAAATATATTCGCGACTTCTTCCCTTCGTTCTTCTTTCTCGAGAATTTTCTCCAACAATAAAACTATTCCCCCGCAAATTCGATATAATATAAGGATTTATGAAAAAAATTAAACTTGCCGTGGTCGGTTAAGGGTTGTCCGATGGGCGGAATAATCTTTTCAATGTCTCATTATCATAATTTATTAGTATTCAATGGAAGAATGGTATTAGAGAATCGTGAAATTTTCTTCTTCGAAGAAAAGAATTTAATGTAGACGTTGTTTTCTTTTAACTTGATGACAACTGTTCTCCATGAAGTCCTGCCATTAAGAATTAGCCGAAAGTTTCTCAAGTAAGATATGCGTCTCCGTGAAAGTTCGAACACAGGGATTAACTGAATAAGAATGCGATGAAACCACATCAAGAGATCCTATTACTGGTAAGGAGTCGGTAAGGCTTCCGTTGAAGATGTGGCCAATCGTAGGTCAACCTCAGCGAGAACGTTAGACCCCTACTACCGCCTACTATGGGGATATATCCACAGTTTGTACGATTTCTAATCCAATTTTATACGAAGAAAACACGATTAAGTTTGAGATATTCTCGTACACGATACAAATTTCTAGAGCTCTACGATCCTTCGACTTACGCGTCTTTGATCACTGATACAGCTCCTACGGATTGTCTTTGCGGACACGTTCTTTATGTTTCTTATATCTAGGGATATCTATTGAAAGAAACACATGTATAAGATATTTCCTTAACCACGGTGAACTCGTCGACGCTGACGCCGATGCATCTGAGGAAAGCGAAGCTGATGTTCTTCTGGGTAAGGTACCCGTCTTCGGCCGTCCTCAAGATGTATTTCCCCGACATCAAATTTAATAAGAACAATACAGCGCAGCTGGTCAAGTGGTTCTCCAATTTCCGGTGAGTACACGTCAACTCATGCATATATATATATATATATATATATATATATATATATATATATAACATTGTCATACTATCGTGATGAATTTGAAGGAAGTTAAAATTAGATCTCACAACGTTGCTGGTCCAATTCGCATGTAGCACGAATGAAAATTAAATCGGAACATTTCTGAATGTCAAAGGTCTCGATTGGATCCATCGTGGATCCTAGTTTCTCGTTCGGACATAGTTCGAATTTCTTATCTAAAAGGTTCGAATCGAATTTAATCTAAAAGGTTCGTTCTTTCGAACGAAATCATGTAAGACGTCTCTCGTTGGCAAACGTTCCGTGTATGCAAACGAGAACAAGGTTTTCGAGGGCTCGACCACTCCCTTTACAGAAGCGGTCAGAGCCCAAGAGACGAGAGTCACGATGGGTGTGTCCGAATCTTAATTACCATCCCCTAGTAGCAGCTGGGGATAAGTAACGTATCTACACTGCGGCAGGTACGAAGGCGTAGGAGTTTGTGGGTACCGACACATACCGGCCAGTAGGCATTAGCCTGATTATAATTAGGCTGAGTACAGTACAGATCCGAGATATAAGGCGGACGAAGGCCCACACGTGATCTCGGTACTATGTTATTACTATTTTCTTATCGCAAGAATACGCGCCTTTCTGCTCCTCGAAAGCTCATAAGTTTTCCTCAACTTGAATATACTCATTGTCATGAAGTGCTCATCTTGCTTTTATTTTGACGATTGTCCCTTATGAAAAGTAAAAGAATAAGAAAGATTATCATACATCGTCATAATAAAAAGTTCAATCAATGACTGAGATTGATTTATTATAATCGAGAGCTTATACTTGTTCTTGAGAGGTATATAAGATTAAGTTAGTATACGAGATTTGTGAATGTGCTGAAGATTAAAAAGAAAACGTCCCGATTAGTCTCATGAAATCCGGAAAGGATGGATAAAAAACACAAGTATACTCATTCTAGTTGTGGTACTACTACTATCGTTTGCATTGAACTTAGCGCTGGTAGAAGCATCAAAATTCGCGAGCAGAAGCTTGTCCATCTTGTTGCTATATGCCGAGTGGCTTTCTCTTGCATACTCATTCGTTTATCTTTCGGTTCTTTGAAAACATTGTCATAACCGACATAAAAGAGAAAGACAGAGAAAAAGAGAGGGCAAGGGAACGCGTTGTAGAAGTTAGAAATGCCTGGCAAAAATTGCATCACGCTCAGCTTCCGGGACAAGGAACAAAGCTAATTACTAGCTAATATATTTCAAGTTACATTTTCGTCCTGTCGTTTCGTTGCGGCCTGCGGGGTTCGTTCTTTCCTCATCCGATTCTCTCTCTTTGCCGCTTCTATCCCCACTCTCATTTTCCCTCCTTCTTTCTCTCTATCTGTCTGTCTGTTTGTCTCTCTCTCTCTCTCTCTCTCTCTCTTTTACACTCTTGTCCGCTTGTTCTCTCTCGTACAATTTTTTTCTAACATGTTCTTCGTATTCCAGCCTTCGAGTATCATGGGAGACAAGGTCTCTTGGCGAGGCACGCGAAAACTTTTAAATTTCCTCTATCTCTTCATTTCTCTTTTTATCTTTCTTTTTCAAATGAAAAAAGAGGCGAATAAAAATCCTCAATACAAATAAATTTGTATCCCTTAATGCTCTTGACGATCATATATATATATTGCTTTTTTGCTTGTTTTAATTGATCATTTTTATTAGATTAATTTTGATTAGAAGATCTTCTAAATATCATCCTCCCAGTTTTCTTATTATTCGAAGTTATAAAGAAGTGAAAAATGCAAGGGTTGTTCGTGTTATCCTCAAAGACAATACTCAAAAGGTTTCTGGGCACGAACTGACAGTATGCCATGTTTCCTTTTGTGGCTAATCACGTAAGAGTTTAGCTGGACTTTTTCTTGCTCGTTCTCCAGTCGGCGGCGTCGAGCGTGCTCGATCTGATAGCCTAATGCACGGCTTCCTATGCGGAAATACCTCGGCACATTATTCTACGCTCCTACGTGTACACCCTAGCCTCTATCAACTCACCCCTCGACACCCTATGAGCCATCGTTGTACTTTTGTCACGAGAACCGCTTGAAAGCGGCACCAACGACGGCTTTACTTTACGACGCAATGTATCCGATTAGTCCTTCGACTTTTTCACTTTTTCTATCTTTCTTCGTTTATATGACCAACGTTGATCGACCTTTCGATAAGATTCTCAGCCGAAAGTCGATCCACTCTTTTTAATTTAACATTCATCGGTGCTTCCGTCAGGACATACTAGAATGGAAACGTTTCGAAGAAACGTTTGTAAAATAGAAAATAAAACAAGAAAGATTGAAACTCGGTGAATAAGAAAAGAAACTGAATATCCT